GGGGGGGTGTCTGGAATGGAGAATCTACTCCACGAAATGGATTGGGGGGGGATGGTTATGGTAGAAGAGTAAACTGGCCGACACGTGTTAACATATTGGAAGAAGTGGTTTATCGCAGGGTTATTTATTTATTTTTTTTTACTTTTTGGGAGAAAGAGTAGCCGAGTGAGTTATAAGTTATAGGAGAACTATGGGTTTCCGTAAAACTGCAACTTTCATTTTTTATGTGGGCACTGTACCCCTTAGCAAGTACGGGCTCAAGTTGTCGTTCATGTTGTTTCTTAATTTACCACAAAAAAGAAAACCTGATAACGAGTGATTATTACACTTACGTGTATCATCTTATCTTTTTTATTAATTTTTTTTTCAGAGCGCCAAACCGATAATGGAAAAACGGCGGCGAGCGAGAATTAACGCGAGTCTGGCCGAGCTGAAGGCACTTCTTTTGGAAGTTATGAAAAGAGAGGTGGGTTCAGAATTTAATTCCTTCTTTCCCCTCCGCCCCCAAATAATGAATGAATAGATAAGCATAAAAACATTTGTTATTAATAGGATTGTTACTTTAAACATAATTTCAATTTACAGCCATTAACGTTTCTTTCAGCCCAAAGTTTTTTGTTACACCAAGAGCAAAATGTGACGAATATTAACCGCCGACGCGCACATGCCTGTACAAACACGCGTACGCTTGCACCCACATCAAGTGAGGGCTCTAAACCGTGCACGGAAACTTTCTGTTTACTTCTGCCATTATCTTTTATAGTCGTGATTACACCGAGCCTTGTTTATTATTCAATTCACAGTGTTGCACAACACTCTATATTTACATTATAAACAGCGGTACACAGCGACGTGTCCTCCACGAAAGAGTGACACTTTTAAAGAACAGCACGCTCGGCACAGGTGGGCGAGACCTGCATAGCCTGTTTGTTTCGCTGTTTTTACATTTCACAACCTTTAAAGAAACCAACGAGGTTGTTTGTTTCTCTGTTTTGAACATTTGCATATGTATGAAGTGTCAACACAGTGGCGCGGCATGCGAGGCACGAGGCGGACTTTCCCACGCTCTTAGAGGCCAGGCTGGTGTCACGGGGCGCGCGCTGGGAGACCTCGGAGGTTTGGGTGCGGGACATCGGCGGTTTTCAACAACATTCGGGTCATATGGGAGATTTTTCACTGTCATTTGTGAATAATGATAGCGTGTTATCAGGTAAATATGGTGTTGCCGACGGAATAATGTATACAACGAGGTGACGAGCGGGATTCCTTTAGTGCTTTGCCTTTGTATGTCGGCGTATTTGCCTCCGCGTGTATGTAAGCGTGTGTGTATGTGCGCGCGTGCGCGTTGAGGCGAGGGGGCTCAGATGGGGTAGGTGGGGGGGGGGGCGACACTGCCGCTCTCCTTAAAGAAGGCTGATCCTTTTTCGTATGACAATTTAGTGAAGTGCATTCCTACTTAGTTGGTGTTTTTTGGAGTAATTTCGTCACCCGTGCCCCCTTCCCCCCCCTCCCTCCCTCCGTTACCACTTCACAGCCACCCCGGGTCGAGAGATCATTCATGGGTTGCGTTCACACAAAGCTCAACGAGTTCGATCCTAGTGTCGCACTGTGTCCCTAGGGAGGCGTTGTTCCTGAGGACAGTGACAAAGAAGCAGTTTTAATGATATTTTATTTTACATTAACTGAATCAGTTTATCAAACGACATCTTATAAATCAAAGTGTATCATTTAGAGCGTTTTAATCATTTTAGCATACTAATCGTAAGACCAATGTGTCGTTTATGACGTGTCGTGCATTTTTACAGCTTATCTACTCGAGGCTCGTGGTCGCCCCGAATACTACGGTCTCTCAGTATGACATGCAAATTCACGACTTACGCTGTTATAATATATATTTCCTCGGACGAAGTTTTATTTGACCAAATACCACAACTTACATCGCATCCACACCGAACACGGACCTCGGGTTCATTATATATAACTCAGAGCTCAGCTAACTGTGCCAGCGATCATACACTGTTGGTGTCACGGTATTTCACTTCACCTCCCTCCAACAAACACGGAGGTGCTAAGCTCTGCCACGGGAACAGAGAGAGAGCATTTATTACAGTTGGGTCTGGGTGTTCGGGCTCAGACTCACTTTCGACCTCAGTTCTTCAGCGATGCTGAAAAAGCAAATATAGTCCATACTGTCTCGCTCACTGCTGTCTCAAATAAATAGAAAATCATGATAAAAAATAATTACTAATATGATCATTTTCTTTAAGCACAATTGCAGTTCACAGACAAATCGCCAAGATGTTTTATCAGCGACGCTAACTCGGGGTTTGACAATTCGAATTTTTGATAATAAAACATTTGCATTATGATGGGGTTTTCTGCTACTGAAAACAATTTGTAAAAAAGAAAAGAAGAAAAAGAAAAAAAATCAAACATAAGAATCTATCGGGGACAATATGTCCGAATGACTGAAAATAATAAACTATATCGACGGCCTATAGTAAATGTTTTCCGAATTCACGCGCATCATGTGTTGATACGTGAATAAATTGGATTAATGAAGGAATTAATTATTTCATCTCATTCCAGGGCTCACGACATTCCAAGATGGAAAAGGCCGACATATTGGAGATGACCGTCCGCCATTTGAGGCATATACAACGACAACAGTTTGCAGGTAGGGAGAACGAAAACATCGCTTTTGTTTTCCCCCCCTTTTCTGTACAAAACGACTACCATAAGATTTTATTTTAATCTTAATTACATGAAGTGGCTATTCATATCAGCTGTACCCCGTTCCCTGTTGGAGGCGTCTTCGAAGACACTGGAATATTTGAGTGGAATAAACTAAGTTCATATGTTGTTAAAAAAAAATTGTGGATCTGATAAAATTTCAGTAAATTTTACCAGAGAATGAATACTCACAGTAATCTTGAAAGAAGCAATTTTTGATGAAACTACAAAAATATTTAATTACAAATTTGACAAAACTGCCCCGTGTTAAAGTGTTAAACGTGCACAGTGCCTGTCACTTGACATAATGATCTGCCTCATCCATAGTTCTCAATTCTTCTCGAAAAATCTTTATTTCGTAAACAAATCTGTCCAGAGAGTATGGATGACTTTTGGTATTTGTATGTTCTGAATGAGGGGCAGAAAGAGGCCCCCGGAGAACAATATCATCTAAAGTTTGTGACTTAAAATGGCTGAAATCAAACCCAGAACGCTACAAAACGAACTATTTCTTTTATTGAGATGCGTTCTCTAAAGCGATCCCACAGGTATCGCATGATTCGAACTTGACATGAGTATTATTGCATATAGTAAAAAGAGAAGAAGCAGAACATTTAATCCCGACAGACTGAGAAAGACTTCTCCTATTTCCTCCTCTCTGCCAATAGACACGGATTTAAGATTTCAAATCAACAATGAATCAATATTTGTATTAGATTCAAATCACAAACACCATTCGAATAGCTTGCCAATACGGCTTGTCACATTAGACACTCATTTTACCATTGCGTTGCTGTTATCTGGCGTTAGAAAACGATAGCTTGGGATAATATATAATCTATCAACAGTTTGGCAATCTACAGGTTATGGCGGAATAATTCGCTTAATGGGATTTTATCTGATGAAAAAGATCTTCTGCAGGTCAATTGAAAATCATGAAAGGGAGGGATAAGAAGATAAAATCCACAGTAGAAACAAGACTAGAATTATTCTTCCATTTTTCTTGATAGTGCGCCTTATCTACTTTATACATTGTACAAATGATGAACAAAAATCAAAGTTGGTCGTTAAAACAATACCTTAAAGTCGCCATTTTAACCCCAATCAGCAAGCACACTCAAAGCAAGAAATTTTAACAGAAAACACAGAAGTCATATGACAGCGGTCTACACGCACCGCACGCCAATGGGAAGGAGAAGAGAGATGGAAGACGGAGTATTTTTCCAGTGACAAGTTGTCATCGTAATGATTTATCTTCCCACTAGTCAAGTCTCCAGAACGGCTAGCCGTGTCCCCCACAACCACTTGGTGATAAGTGAGTGACGCTAGACCTGTCACAGTATATCAAAATGACACCATATATATGTAGTCCGTCTTTTTATTAAGAAGAAAGTTGCATGAATAAACTTATCAAGTTAAGACGAGGTGATGCACTGTGTAAGGATTTTATTTGTCCCTTTTTCTCTTTAGATAATGCTAATTATTTCACTTTTTGGTCTACAAATGGTTTCTGTTGATCCTAACATTTTAACACTAAGAGGTATAAAACGGAGTATTGTAAAAAAAAAAAAAAAAAAACTACAGAACTCAGACGACAACCAAGACAGCGGACACTGCCCAGTGTCGCCATCTAGTGGACAGATAACAAATTCCACACTGTTTAGGTCATCATTTTCCAATGTGTCAAAATGAATGGAATTACAAAGACAAAAATTGTATGAACTTTCAGAAATAGACTAAAAATCTTTTTTACTTTTACTTTTTTATTGTTGGCAGCTTGTCAAAAAAAAAAAAAAAAATAATAATAAAAAAAAAATTACGCCTAGTGTCATTCAGTCATGAGGTACATGTATAGGACGTCCTTCGTGGCTTTACTTTAACAAGTGCCTGCATNTATGTAGTCCGTCTTTTTATTAAGAAGAAAGTTGCATGAATAAACTTATCAAGTTAAGACGAGGTGATGCACTGTGTAAGGATTTTATTTGTCCCTTTTTCTCTTTAGATAATGCTAATTATTTCACTTTTTGGTCTACAAATGGTTTCTGTTGATCCTAACATTTTAACACTAAGAGGTATAAAACGGAGTATTGTAAAAAAAAAAAAAAAAAAACTACAGAACTCAGACGACAACCAAGACAGCGGACACTGCCCAGTGTCGCCATCTAGTGGACAGATAACAAATTCCACACTGTTTAGGTCATCATTTTCCAATGTGTCAAAATGAATGGAATTACAAAGACAAAAATTGTATGAACTTTCAGAAATAGACTAAAAATCTTTTTTACTTTTACTTTTTTATTGTTGGCAGCTTGTCAAAAAAAAAAAAAAAAATAATAATAAAAAAAAAATTACGCCTAGTGTCATTCAGTCATGAGGTACATGTATAGGACGTCCTTCGTGGCTTTACTTTAACAAGTGCCTGCATTACATACTATGTAATTTATCTTTATTAATACTATCCTAATCAATAATCATATTTGATTTATGTCACTATAAAATCACGTCACGTATTTCTTTTCTTTTCTTTTCAAAAGCCGTTTTAAGAGAGTTTAGATGCAAGATAAGATCTCGTGGACAATATAATTTGTCAATCCGCACCCATTTCAAGCCTAGATTACATTTACACGGGCGCCGTGCGATGGAATTGTCCGTACGATTTTTTTTTAGAAATCATAAGGAGCTACGGGCTACGCCGAGTATGTCTGCATTACATGACCTTAAATCTGCACGATTCCGTGCGATTTCGCACGGCCACCGTCTACCTCCGCTTAGACGCCCAGTGAAGAGGGAATTACTGGCAGTATATCTGCATCGCATTTCAAATATAATCTAGGCTTTAGGCTTTTCTTATTTCTATCATCTAGGAGATATTTTCTTTCCCTCACAAATACCCCGAATACAGACCTGAGCTGAACTCTGTATTACGTGGAAATCTAATATTAAAGGGCGGTACAGTACAGATGCATCAACAGTGACAACTTTAGAAAATATGACAATTTTTAACACCTTAAACCGGCTACAAGAGAACGCCCTCGGGCTAGACATGTCTATTTCGATGCAGGGAACAATTGTATTTTGGTATATTCTATTGTCACCCTGTCAAGTAAAATATCGCAAAATAAACATTCCACATAGACTTTTTTCAAGTCACTGCCTTGTATTTAAATAGAGACATTGTTTATTATGACAGAGGTCTAAGTAACACAGTTGACTCAAACGCCCAATCTTCTTGATAAACTAGTCATAATACGGCGTTGATAGGAGGGATAGAATCCCAGATGGTTAAACAGTGTCCATTTCAAAAAGAAAATGTAATCTTATAAACCAGTGATCAAGTGTACTGTAGTAATTATGGTAATTATGGCATTATCCTGCCTTGGAATGTGTGACATCGTTAAATTACTTTCTTTTGTTGATTTCTCAACACAACTGTTCATTTTTTGTTATTATCCACAGTGTCATGCGTATATAAACAATAAGTCTTTTGGACTCTTTGGAGACTTTATATCTTTTACAAGCTTGCTCGTCAAATTACGTAAATTGGCATAATTTAGATTAGAGCATTTCATGCTTAATACATCAAAGTCCACTGTCTTTAAGCTAGCCTATTATTATATGATATTTTGTTTAATTTCAGCCGTTGCCAATTCCGACCCAACTGTCCTAAACAAGTACAATGCCGGATTCAACGAATGCACCTCGGAAGTGAGCCGATACCTCCATTCCATCGAAGGCGTGGACCCCGACATCCGCGCCCGTGTTTTGGATCATTTAGCCACGTGCGTTGCTAACGCCACCGGGGTCAACTCGGAGGGGGAGAGAAGTTTCACCATCCCGAATGTTGCCTCGATACGACCGATGCCTACGCCACAAACCACCGTCTCTCCACGCGCCAGTGACGTTGATGGGTCGGGCGTCGCTAACGTGGAAACGCCCAGTTCGTTTGGAAGTCCGCAGTACGCCCCCACTGGTCACGTGATGCCGGATTTCACCCCAGGGAAGGGCATGGTACAGTCCAACGCATGCGAAGTAAGCAGGTCTACTTCCGCCCCAGCACAAACGGCCACTGTGACGCCGTTGAGCGCGCAACAAAGTAGTTCCGGGAACGTGGCCATAGGTGGCTTACAGGTCATACCTACTCGACTTCCGTCGGGAGAATTAGCGTTTGTTCTTCCTCAAAATGTGATAAACTCTGCGAGCCAAGTTCCGGCTCAAAGCTACATCCTTCCTGTGTTTGCTGGGAATACTGGCATGGCTTCCATGACGTCAACAGTCCAGCCGTCGGCCTCCATAACGACAACAACGGCTCTACCACTCCCCGCGCAGGCGCAGTCTATATCCTCTAACGCGCAGAGTCATCAACACGTTGCTATGGCAACGCTACAAAGCTCCCAGCAGCCAGCAGCTCCAATACGAATAGACACGTCCTCGACTCAGAGTGCTTTCTTATCCGCGCCTTCGATTCTTTCAATGAACGGTTTGTCCGGGACGGTGAATCTCTCTCCAAATTTTCCCTCTGCGAGTGGGCAGGCGGGGTCGAGCGTTCAACCAGCGGGGACTCAGTACCAGCCAGCGCTGCCTTCTATCATCATGCTGCCGTCGAACTATGGAAGTCTACAGCAGCCCTTTCAGGGGATCACGCCCAATCTCCCAGGGTTGGTAAAACCCGGGGAACCGTTCCACATCCCTTCCCTGAAGGAAGAAGACGTCTGGAGACCGTGGTAGCTGAGCTCTGTTATAAATATGCTATATATTTTTTATTCTCTGTTAATTATTTTGAAGTCTTTCTTGTGTTATCCAAATAATATTCAAGAATCAATATGTTCAGTTCTATTAAGTACTCAGCGCCGGGTATCTTTCATGGTGTCTGTTTTCTGTTTCACATTGTTAAAGATGCATACAAAGTCAATTTTTTGTCACAAAAACCAACCAAACGCCAGCATATAGTTTCAAGTAGTATAACTAAGAGAATTACCAAAAAGCATTGTTTAATTTTACCCGAAAATGATGTTTGAACAGATTTTTCTGCTGGCATTCTAAGCTGTATGTCAATGGGGCAGGAAAGTAGGTCACGGAAGTAGGTTAAATTTACAACCATAAATTTAAAGAAAGGAGCAATCTAGAGGTATTTTATGGCTGGTCGAGTGATCTATTAAGTTTATCCCTTGGCATGTCAAATTTATTTGAGTCATATAAGAATCTAGTAGGAGTGGTTTACATGTGTTACTGGGAATCCACACTCCACCGATGCTCGGTTCGTATGTACCTTTAATTGTTGAAAACTGAAAAGCTTCACATCCATTTTATGCGCACTCTTTTTATATGGAATTTATAAACTGGATGGTGTTCAAATATATATATGGAAATCATTTGAACATTAAATACATCTTTGAACACAACAGTCAAGATGCCTAGCCATTATTCATAGGATTTATAATAAGTATTTATTAATTTGGGAAACAATATTTGCTGTGCTGTGGTGCTTGATTGTGATGCTGACCGCTGAGAGTTTAAATTTGCTTTGTTTACTGTTTGCTTCTATTGCTGTTACGAACTGATCTGGTTACCATTGTACTTACGACAATTGTAAAGATAAATTGTTATCAACATTTTTCTGACGCTCACGGGTGAGTGGTGACATTTTACCACATCATGATGTTTAAATACGACTCATACAAAATATGCCATTCAAGCATATCTTAAATAAAACATGTTATTTAAGAGTTATTTTGCACGTGTGTTGTTCATTACGATTTCATTCATTTCCATAATTCCCTTTCAATCGCTGCGTAATTGCGACACACATCAGTACATCACACCTGGAAGAATAATACATGGCGGCCATTTTGAATTCAAAAGCAAGCTCCCAGGTCCCAGCAATTTCTTGTGTCTTGCTTCTCCTTTCATAATATATAATCATTATTAAAGGTAGACTTATATTGACTCAGGGCCATTTGAGGTCAAATTCGTTGAGAATAAAGAAAATTATTCTAGAGCACAATGCCTCATAATAATTGAACACGTGTAACGCAATGGCGCAGGGCATTTTGGGGTGGCGGCATGTTCGTTTGATCCTTGCTGGTTAAGAATTGTCTATAAAAATACTTGATTTGTCTATTAAAATACTTGATTTGGTAATGAGAATTGAAATGTGCTATGATTTGTACCCTTGTGACGAATGCATAATAAAGTGCAATTGCGGCATAAGTAAATTAAAGCAGATTATACAAACGTTCACCCCAAAATACAAGTCCAGTTTGGTGAAATGTTTTGGACGGACGTACAAGAGTAACAACGACACAATGTTAAAGTATGCACAGATTTATTGGTCTGCCAAGTGCTCAGCAAAAGAAAATAATTACTGTATTTCATTGTTTTTTATGTGCACAGCTCAGATTGACCAGATGTTCTAAAAAACCGCGGGGAAATGAACCGACACAGTACTGGGCAACCCAGCAAACCAGCCAAAACACCGTTATATTCTTCGAAGTTCTGGTGCAAATTTGGGGTGATTTCTTTCCCAAAAACTTAGATATTCATCTCCGTTAAACATGACACAGTTATATTTTCTTTCAGCAGACAAGAATTTAGAAGTCACATAATTAAGAATGGTATATAGGCCTATATATAAGTATCAGAAGAGCAGGGTTATCACATCTTGCTCTTCAAAAACAGTATAAGCGAAGCCAGTGGGGAGGGGGGGGGGGAGGCTGCATATGTTCCCCACAAACTATCTTGGGATCCTGTATTCGATATGGAATCGTCATAGTGTCAACTCACACTGCCGTCTTGACTGAGTGAAGCGGGTTAGGTGACAATAAAACGTTATCATTATGACATTAATCTAGACACAGTTTTAAGAATTAATAGGAATGTCACCATGGCATGTCAGATAACTTTTTTCTTACTTCACAGAAGACACAGCCGGCTGGCGGTGAATGCACAGCAAAAAAGTAGAATAGCAATAATTCTTTTTATCCTTGCGCCCCTCTTGTGTGCAGTGACCCCTTTCGGCAAGGACACAATTTAAGTGTTTTAAAATGATTTATAACAAGGCCGATGTCAAAAGACGTCGTGGATGAGATAAACTGACATCAGATGTCACATAAAATGTTGCTTGTTTGAGTTGGTATAAAGAATGAATTATCATGTTTTCAACGAAATGTCTATATTATCGTTTTTTATTTCATTATATTAACTGATAAAAATAATGTTTAATGCAAATATGCCTTCAAATAATGTAGTGCAAATGTTAAGGATTTGTTACAAAAGTACACCACGATAAAGATCTATTTTGCAAATTACAGAATTTACCTGGGAATGTCAGAAATGGCCCTTTTTATCTCCAAAGAATATCTTATTCCAATCTTTTAATAAATATACGATCTTTAAGTCCGTTTTTAATTTCTCATCTTTACCACCATTAGTGACATCCACCCGTCTCTTTCTCTCCATTACGAAAGTGACTCAAACACTAGAAACTTAGAAATCAAAAACAAGAGTCTGCGAACTTTTGTGGATATGATATTCATGAAAAAAGTAGAAATGCCCAGTCAAATCAATGTTTTGACTTATAATGGTCTAACCTAAAATATGTGTCTTTAGCAACATATCTGCATATCTTAATTAAGTGATTGGTAATGGTGGTATTGGTGAAATTTGATTTTGTTACCGGTTATTACATTGATGATTAGTTGTGAGTGTAGTGACATATCCACTTTCTGTCTTTTATTTTTTCTGTCTTCTTCTTCTTCTTGTTATTTAATTTTTTAAATTTTTTTATTTGTAAAATTCGCCAGATTTGTCTCTGTAGGATAGAAGATAAGATGGATAAACACACACACACACACACACACACACGTACACACACACACACACACACACACACACACACACACGCACAGAAAGAGAGAAAGAGAGGTGCTTTTTTCGACATTCCTCTAAAGTTTCCATTTAAAAATTTTATTACACATACCCCATCATTTTTACATAGTGCATGCAGGTCGGACCACCCAAACTCACAAACCACGAGGAAGAATTTGACCACATTCATGAGATGAATTTTTAATGATTCCTAGTCACATGGACAAATGATCAGGCCACCATAGTTGGCTGATGTTATCCACATATTGGGTTTTGAATTGTGTATTGAACTTTATGACTGGGTTCCCGAACCTAATTCGATCCAACAGGATCGATCCATCTCCAAGTGGTTTCTTGCTAAATTGCATTCGGCATAAGCTGCTTTTATGTCTGTCACCCCTACTGAAGCTGCTAAACGATAATCAATTACCCCTAGCAACTTCAGTAGGCGTGGGAGACATCTAAGTCGCCTAAGTTGATTGCAATTCAGCGAGAATCCCTTAGGAGATAGATCGATCCACAGTTTGTACGATAGGGTCTGGGAATGGTCCCTAATGCTTACCAGTATATTAAAAATATGTGTCTCCTCTTTTCCCGTTCAATCGAAAGATAACAGTTGAAAATTATGACGGGCAGAGTGTCCTCTTTCTAACTATGATTTACGACACTATAAATGGGATACGGGTCTGTTATTGTATTGCTGACCTAAGCCCATTTTTGACGGCCAGAAAAAGGAAAATACTTGCTAATATTTCACCTTTTACAGGACATGTATTGTTTAGTGGTCGGAGGAAAAGTTGGCGGAAATAACTTCCCACATATTTACTACCCGGCCACCAAGTGGTGGATGGGGTAAAATACACATCTGATACTATGATAAAAGGACAAAAACCTTTCCAGAAATTTCATTAATCCGTTCTTTTATGGACACAACGATCAGGCGCCAAACCTCGTAAATAGATTTACTGTTTTTCTGAAGTAAAAATGGAGAAAATTGATGTTCATTTTTCTAACCGTCCGCGTCCTGCTGTTCTCTGTCGTTTCACCTGCGCGAGGAAATTACCCCCGGGGTCGACATAAAAAAAAAAGAACAATCCCTCCGCAGCGTCTGGGTTGGTTTTTGGCGGTCAGTCCCAGTCGGGCCTATTGTCCAACGCCGTCTTTGACCATACCCCTGACCGCGTCCGTGCGGGCCCTGTGCGCCGGATAATACGACCACATGGAGAGAAGTGATAAACACTGAGGTGTGAGAATTCGCGCTCTCGTCAATGCTCCAACAATCAAACAAGTTAGCGCTCAATGGAGCAAGAGACGCTGAAGTCGAGTGTCGCTGGCTGACAGCAGGGAGCCGTTCGAGGTTGTTGCACGCGTGTGATGCGATACCCCTCAGGGTAAGACCACAGACATAGGACGCTCTGTGAGAAGTAAAGAGAGGGAAAGATGTTTTTTTTGAATATTGATTATTTTTTGATGATCAGAAATTACACATTCTGACAAAGTTTCATTTTTTTTTTATATCAAGAACGCGACCTTCTATTGCGGGAAACCACATCCTTTTGGTTAAAAAAGTTCGAATAGTTGGTATTGACAACCCTTTGTTGACATAAAAACGAATAATTACTTTGTCCGCCAGTTTATACGAATTTAATACTCAATCTGGTGGTGTGAGAACAGGGTTGGGGGTCCTAAATAGCAAGAACAAACTGGTTTTGCAAAAAAAAAATCAGATAACCCAACCGTCGGAGAAATAATTCACTTCAACGGTAGTTTCGTACCATACTGATTTACAAATTCAGTCAGGTTTTGATGGCACACTTTAAATCTTTGGGTTTAAGTGTAGTTTTAGACAAACATGTGTAGTGTGCTTATTGTTTATTGCCGGTCAAATTAACCATAGGTGGTTGGCACTAATATCTGTAATTTTAATTTTAATTATTTTTTATTTGTATTTTATCCATGGAATGGGATTTTTATTAAATGAAT